TTCTTCAATAATAACTCTACCATACACTTTACCAGGTATACTCCACAGACTTATCCCCCTATAATTTTGCACTCTCTTTTGTCCCCTTTGCCTTTGTACAAAGGAACTATGCATGCTCTCTGCCAATCCCTAGGTACCTTACCCTCTTCCATACATTTATTAAATAATTACCCCAAACCACTCCAAAACTATATCCCCACCTGCTTTTAACATTTCTATCTTTATCCCATCAATCCGGCTGCCTTATCCCCTTTCATTTTACCTACTGCCTCACGAACTTCCCCCACATTCACAACTGGCTCTTCCTCACTCCTACAAGATGCTATTCCTCCTTGCCCTATACACGAAATCACAGCTTCCCTATCTTCAGATTTATACGCTCTCCATGTCATTCTACTTTGATCCATTCTCTCTAAATGACCAAACCACCTCAACAAACCCTCTTCAGCCCTCTGACTAATACTTTTATTAACTCCACACCTTCTCCTAATTTCCACACTCCGAATTTTCTGCATAATATTTACACCACACATTGCCCTTAGACAGGACATCTCCACTGCCTCCAACTGCCTCCTTGCTGCAGCATTTACAACCCAAGCTTCACACCTATATAAGAGTGTTGGTACTACTATACTTTCACACATTCCCTTCTTTGCCTCCATAGATAACATTTTTTGCCTCCACATATACCTCAATGCACCACTCACCTTTTTTCCTTCATCAATTCTATGATTAACCTCATCTTTCATAAATCCATCCGCTGACACGTGAACTCCCAAGTATCTGAAAACATTCACTTCTTCCATACTCCTCCTCCCCAATTTGATATCCAATTTTTCTTTATCTAAATCATTTGATACTCTCATCACCTTACTCTTTTCTATGTTCACTTTCAGCTTTCTACCTTTACACACATTCCCAAATTAGTCCACTACCCTTTGCAATTTTGCTTTAGAATCTCCCATAAGCACAGTATCATCAGCAAAAAGTAACTGTGTCACTTCCCATTTTGTATTTAATTCCCCATAATTTAATCCCACCCCTCTCCTGAACACCCTAGCATTTCTGACTCACGAAATCGTAATGACACGATTGCAAACAAACCATGCCCCAGCCAGGATTGAACCCGCGGTCAGAGAGTCTCAAAACTCCAGCCCGTCGCGTTAGCCACTAGACCAGCTAGCCACAATAAGATTCGTCCAACTAGGTATATTTCTACACCATAGGAAGGTTAGCACAGGCGCCACTGTGACCACAAATGCAAGTTTTTATAGACGAATCTCCAGCTAGCGTGGCCGTGACGAACTCTAGCTCAAGTCCCTTCACTGCCGTCAACATGACTCACGAAATCGTAATGACACGATTGCAAACAAACCATACCCCGGCTAACGCGGCGGGCTGGAGTTTTGAGACTCTCTGACTGCGGGTTCAATCCCGGCCTGGGTATGGTTTGTTTGCAATCGTGTCATTACTATTTCGTGAGTCATGTTGACGGCAGTGAAGGGACTTGAGCTAGAGTTCGTCACGGCCACACTAGCTGGAGATTCGTCTGTAAAAACTTGCATTTGTTGTCACAGTGGTGCCTGTGCTAACCTTCCTATGGTGTAGAAATATACCTAGTTGGACGAATCTTATTGTGGCTAGCTGGTCTAGTGGCTAACGCGACGGGCTGGAGTTTTGAGACTCTCTGACCGCGGGTTCAATCCCGGCCAGGATATGGTTTGTTTGCAATCGTGTCATTGCGATTTCATGAGTCATGTTGACGGCAGTGAAGGGACTTGAGCTAGAGTTCGTCACGGCCACGCTAGCTGGAGATTCGTCTGTAAAAACTTGCATTTATGGTCACAGTGGTGCCTGTGCTAACCTTCCTATGGTGTAGAAATATACCTAGTTGGACGAATCTTATTGTGGCTAGCTGGTCTAGTGGCTAATGCGACGGGCTGGAGTTTTGAGACTCTCTGACCGCGGGTTCAATCCCGGCCGGGGTATGGTTTACCCTAGCATTTGCTTCTTTTACAACCCCATCTATAAATATATTAAACAACCATGGTGACATTACACATCCCTGTCTAAGACCTATTTTTACTGGGTAGTCTCCCTCTCTTCTACACACCCTAACCTGAGCCTCACTATCCTCATAAAAACTCTTTACAGCATTTAGTAACTAACTCTGCCACATTGCTCCCCTATCCACTCTATCATATGCCTTTTCTAAATCCATAAATGCAATAAAAACTTCCCTACCTTTAAATACTGCTCACATATATGCTTCAATGTAAACACTTAATCTACACATCCCCTACCCACTCTAAAACCTCCTTGCTCATCCGCAATTCTACATTCTGTCTTGCCTGTAATTCTTTCAATAATAACCCTACCATACTCTTTTCCTGGTATACTCAGTAAACTTATTCCTCTATAATTTTTACAATCTCTTTTGTCCCCCTTCCCTTTATATAAAGGGACTATACACGCTCTCCGCCAATCCCTAGGTACCTTCCCCTCTTTCATACATTTTTTTTTTTTCAACAAGTCGGGCGTCTCCCACCAAGGCAGGGTGATCCAAAAAAGAAAGAAAATCCCCAAAAAGAAAATACTTTCATCATCATTCAACACTTTCACCACACTCGCACATTTTCACTGTTTTTGCAGAGGTGCTCAGAATACAACAGTTTAGAAGCATGCACATATAAAGATACACAACATATCCCTCCAAACTGCCAATATCCCAAACCCCTCCTTTAAAGTGCAGGCATTGTACTTCCCATTTCCAGGACTCAAGTCCGACTATATGAAAATAACCAGTTTCCCTGAATCCCTTCACTAAATATTACCCTGCTCACACTCCAACAGATCGTCAGATCCCAAGTACCATTCGTCTCCATTCACTCCTATCTAACACGCTCAGTCTCCCCCTGCTTTTAACATTTCTGTCATGATCCCGTCAGTTCCAGCTGCTTTACCCCCTTTCATTCTACGTAATGCCTCACGCACCTCCCCCACATTCACATCCTGCTCTTCTTCATTCCTAAAAGATGATATACCTCCCTGGCCAGTGCATGAAATTACCGCCTTCCTTTCTTCGTCGACATTTAAAAGTTCCTCAAAATATTCTCGCCATCTACCCAAAACCTCCATCTCCCCATCTACTAACTCCCCTTCTCTGTTTTTAACTGATAAATCCATTTGTTCCCTAGGCTTTCTTAACTTGTTTAACTCACTCTAAAATTTTTTATTATTTTCATTAAAATTCTTTGACTGTACCTCTCCCACTCTATCATCTGCTCTCCTTTTGCACTCTCTCACCACTCTCTTCACCTTTCTTTTACTCTCCATATACTCTACTCTCTTCTTATAACACTTCTGCTTTGTAAATACCTCTCATAAGCTACCTTTTTCTCTTTTATACACACCCTTTACTTCACAATTCCACCAATCACTCCTCTTTCCTCCTGCACCCACCCTCCTATAACCACAAAATTAATTAATTAATTAATTGGTTATGGCAATGCTAACAATAATCCTGTAATAAAGATAAATAAAACAAAGAGCTGAAGGAGACTCTCAGACAAATACACACCTACAGTATTTACTCAAACATAAAAGGGAGATACAGGCATCCCAACCCCCTATTCCCACCAGTTGCATAGTGCCTCTCTAGATGAAGGAGTGTTCCATGACTAAATTGCACAAGCCTTCTACAGATGGAAAAATATTTCAAAAGGACTCACCTACAAAGCCGTTTGAAGAGGACATGGTAAGATTCTGTGCCATACTTAATGCCACGAAGGAGGCCCATTGGCGTGTCTCCATGGGCGGAATCATCAAAGGTGATGGAGTTTAGATTCTTGACGGTGATCCATCGAAAGATGGTTCTCACTTTCTCCACGTCTGAGCTGCATTGTCCCACCAGCATCCTCACCAGATCTGTAAATGTCTTCTGGTCCTCCTGTGCTACCTGCCAACCCCAACATAACAGCCACCATTGTTATAAACCAGTATTTTTAAAAATATATGTAAAAGCTTTTGGAAGAGCTAGTGAGAAAAAGAGATGGGCACAACTTAAAAATTATGTCAGTGACATTAAACTACCCTGAAACCAGAGGAAATAAAAAAATACAAGGGAAAGTGTTTAAAGTTTTTAATCCTTTCACTGTCTTGCACATAGATCTACATTTTGAGTTCAGCTCAGCTCACTCAGATAAGATGCGAGTGGTAAATTTTGGCCTAGACATGAAAGAAATTGTTTGTGCAGCTAGTGTGCACAGTATAAAAAAAAAATCCTGCCCCTCACAGTGCATAGTGGAAAAAAGCAAACCTCTGACTATGTGTTTGGTTTAAAATAGTGACTCTGAGGTGCTTGGAAGATTTTATGATTTTAATGGCTATTTCTTGGTATCATTTAATAGAATGCAAGACATACTACTGAAATATAGATACTTTTGGTTCATTTCAGGACTGGAAATAGCTTGAAGTCAAGCTCAAAGTAGTGGAAAAAGATTTTTGAAATTTTTTCTGAGGACAGTTAAGTCCTCCCTACACCCCCAGTCTGTTTTATGGATTTTCATCAGGTCTGCTTCAATTATTGGGATGCCCTAAACCATGACCAATTATTCTTGGTTATATTTTATTATCTTATAGGTAGTAGGTTGGTAGACAGCAACCGCCCAGGGAGGTACTACCGTCTTGCCAAGTGAGTGTAAAACGAAAGCCTGTAACTGTTTTACATGATGGTAGGATTGCTGGTGTCCATTTTTCTGTCTCATAAACATGCAAGATTTCAGGTACGTCTTGCTACTTCTTCTTACACTTAGGTCACACTACACATACATGTACAAGTATATATATATACACACCCTGCTGGGTTTTCTTCTATTTTCTTACTAGCTCTTGTTCTTGTTTATTTCCTCTTACCTCCATGGGGAAGTGGAACAGAATTCTTCCTCTGTAAGCCATGCATGTTGTAAGAGGCGACTAAAATGCCGGGAGCAAGGGCTAGTAACCTCTTCTCCTGTATATATACTAAATTTAAAAGGAGAAACTTCAGTTTTTTCTTTTGGGCCACCCCACCTCAGTGGGATACGGCTGGTACGTTGAAAGAAGAAGATAATAATATATAATATATATATACACACCCCTCTGAGTTTTCTTCTATTTTCTTACTAGTTCTTGCTCTTGTTTATTCCTGTTATCTCCATGGGGAAGTGGAATAGAATTCTTCCTCCGTAAGCCATGCGTGTTGTAAGAGGCGACTAAAATGCCGGGAGCAAGGGGCTAGTAACCCCTTCTCCTGTATAAATTACTAAATTTAAAAAGAGAAACTTTTTTTTTTTTTTTGGGGGGGGGGGGGGCACCCTGCCAAATCTTCGACTTTTTGTGTGATGAATTCAAAATGGAGGATAACCTAGGAGAAAAGACATGATTAATGAATGGAAGAAATGTTGATTTAGTGCCTAGACTGTTAACAGTGTCTACTTTGAACTCTGTTTTTAAATTGGTTTATTTTTAATTTCATGTAAAATTGGCTGAATTACTATTTCTGTGCACTTTAAAGGATAGTTCTGATAGATGAATGGGCGACTTCTTGTGCTCAATCGATAGAATGGATGGCATACTAGCAAAATGGTTAAGAATTTGGTTGAATGAACAATGGAAATGGTTTAAAATAGGACTCAAAGTGGGTGAAATCACAGACACACAAATTATGCCCAGATTGCTAAGTTTGCACCTGCATATTTCTGCAAGTTTTCCATCAAATTTCACATTTCTGGTGTCATTACCTTCAGAAAAACATTCTCTACCACTTACGAAGATAAAAAAATCCTTTTGGAAAAATGCAGATACTATGAGCACTTTTAATTTTGGGGCTTCTGACACTGAAGAGGTCAAAAAGATTGAAAAAAAAAAATTCACTACAACATCCATGCCACAACAAATAACACAGTAAAGATTAAATTTAATGCATATTAGAGAGAGGCTCTCACCTGTATAGCAAGTTGGTCCACCTCTGCAAACTCATCTGGTCTGTGTAGATGTCTGTCTTGGTCTGTGGTGGGGGAAGAGGGGGTGGGGGCTGAGCTGGGTAGTGCTCCAAGGCTTCCTCTTCATCTTCTTCCAGGTACTCCGATCGCTTCTCCTGGATGAGTCTCATCATCTCCTTGCTGTGCTTCTCCACCAGTGCTGCCGTCGCTGCCCTACAACAGTGCACTCAGGTTGAACATACAAGTTTTCCCTACTACCTTAGCCATCAGTGTTATCCTTCACCTGTTGCAATTTTACTGCATCTTTTGATTCTGTTCTTAGTTTGTCCTAGCCATTCTATGCTAGCATCCTCATTCTACCTAAGTGCTATCTTCCACTTCTATTTTCCAGTTACTAGTTTCACTTGCTGAATGTGACACACACACATCAGGATGTTCCTGACCTTATATGTTGTCATCCTCTGCTGCTCTCTTCTATTTCTTTTTTCACTGGTCTTCACTTCACCTTGTTTTGTCCTCTATTTTACAACTATTCTTAGGATTATCTTTTGACATTCCTCTCCTCTTTTAATTACAGATAATTAATTAATTCATTCATTCATTCCCTCTCTCAACAACACTGTTTGTCTCTACTTCCCATGCTCAGTCATCACTACACCAGGAAGAAGCCACTGCTACCCATAATGTTTCTTTCACTGCTACTTATCTTTGTCCTCACTGTATCTTCCTCCCTTGCCCTCATATCCTTTCCCTCTTCATTAACCTTCTCTACTCTAAATGTACACTAAATTTTGAAAGGTAAAATGCCCTTTCCCCTCCACTCACACCCTATCACCCCCACCTCAGCCTATTTGCTCTTTTCAAGTTAATAAACTCATCAAGACCCATTCATCCCCCCTCACTATAGTGCTTTCATCTTCAAACCACATCCATTTGTTCCTGCTATCTTGAGTGTCTCTGCCTCCTATCCCAATCTTAATATAACTGTTATTACTGATTATACATTTTTCTCGACTTGTATACTGTACAATGCGTCAAATGGATGTGTTCTAGTGGTATTATATACTGTAAATAGAAACTGTAATCTATCATCAAAGAGTTAAACATTCGAAGTATCCTTGGCATTCATGTTGTCCTTATGTAATTTGTTTGGTAAATTACTTTTATTAATGAGGATTAAATACACTGTGTATATGTTCAGTAATAAAAAAATTATAATCTTGCTTGCATTTTTTCTCATAAAATATTTCTCATTATATTAATTTATACTCTAAATATAGAAAACATTGGTTTATTTATCCCTACATCACAAAAGTGTAAACAAATAGGTGAATAGCAAAAGTGAGCACCCAAATGAGCCATGTGAACTAGAGTGAAGACCCAGGTGAAGACACAAGTGGTGAGCACCAACCTCTCATGTTCCAGCATCTTGCGGGTGAGGTTCTCCTTCTTCATGTCTCTCTTCATGGTCATGTTCTTCTCAAGCTCATCACGTTCTTTCTGGTGCCTCACTGTCAACACCTTGGACTCTTCTCGTGAGCGCTTCTTTGTTGCCAAGTCTCGCTCAAACCTGTAAAATAGAGTGAACATGAGTTAACAGTGACACCACAAGTGTCTCACTCTAACCTGTCAACCACACAGTAAACCTGAGTTATAGTGAGACCACAAGGAAGTATCTGGCAGTTATGGTGGTGCAGGTAAGACAGTCTACTCAAGGGAAGATTTCCTGATGCTGGTGAAGATCTCTTGATCCCATGAATTGGAGTTACTTCTCCCTTCATTGATTCAAACCAAATTACCATACCTCCATTCCACAGGTGCTGTATGATGACTAAGAGTTTTGTACTTACCCCCATATTTTAATGATGCAACACTGGATGTATAATAGTATTAATGCATATTTAAAATTGTACTACATATTTTCATTTAGCTACCTCTCTTTTTGTACATGAAAAAAAAAAACTTACTCAGTAACCAATATCTGAATGTACAGCAATGCATGCAACCATAAGAACATAAGAACATAAGAAAGGAGGAACACTGCAGGAGGCCTGCTGGCCCATACTAGGCAGGTCCTTTACAATTCATCCCACTAACAAAACATTTACCCAACCCAATTTTCAATGCTACCCAAGAAATAAGCTCTGATGTGAAAGTCCCACTCAAATCCAACCCTTCCCACTCATGTACTTATCCAACCTAGATTTGAAACTACCCAAAGTCCTAGCCTCAATAACCCAACTAGGTAGACTGTTCCACTCATCAACTACCCTATTTCCAAACCAATACTTTCCTATGTCCTTTCTAAATCTAAACTTATCTAATTTAAATCCATTACTGCGGGTTCTCTCTTGGAGAGACATCCTCAAGACCTTATTAATATCCCCTTTATTAATACCTATCTTCCACTTATACACTTCGATCAGGTCTCCCCTCATTCTTCGTCTAACAATTTGAATGTAACTTAAGAGTCTTCAATCTTTCTTCATAAGGAAGATTTCTGATGCTATGTATTAATTTAGTCATCCAAACGCTGAATGTTTTCTAACGAATTTATGTCCATTTTGTAATACGGAGACCAGAACTGAGCTGCATAATCAAGGTGAGGCCTTACTAATGATGTATAAAGCTGCAGTATGACCTCTGGACTTCTGTTGCTTACACTTCTTGATATAAATCCCAGTAATCTATTTGCCTTATTACGTACGCTTAGGCATTGCTGTCTTGGTTTAAGGTTGCTGCTCACCATAACCCCCAAGTCCTTTTCGCAATCTGTATGGCTAAGTTTCTACATCATTTAATTTATAAGTACTAGGGTTATGGGCACTCCCAAGCTTCAGAACCTTGCACTTATCTACATTGAACTGCATCTGCCACTTTTCTGACCAAGAATAGAGTTTGTTTAAGTCCTCCTGAAGTTCCCTAACATCTACGTTGAATCAATTATCCTACCTATCTTTGTGTCATCGGCGAATTTGCTCATATCACTAGTAATTCCCTCATCAAGATCATTGATATATATTATAAACAACAACGGACCCAAGACTGATCCCTGTGGAACGCCACTTGTTACAGATCCCCACTCGGATTTAACCCCATTTATGGACACTCTCTGCTTCCTGTCAGTGAGCCATGACTCGATCCACGAGAGCACTTTTCCCCCAATGCCATGGGCTGCCACTTTCTTTAACAGTCTATGGTGCGGAACTCTATCAAAAGCCTTACTAAAATCTAAGTAAATAATATCAAATTCTTTATTGTGGTCAACAGCCTCAAAAGCTTTACTGAAGAAAGTTAATAAATTAGTTAGACAAGACCGGCCTCTTGTGAATCCATGCTGAGTATCATTAATCAAGCTATGCTTATCGAGATGGCTTCTTATAATCTCAGCTATAATTGACTCTAGTATATTTGCCTACAATTGAGGTCAGGCTTATTGGGCGGTAATTTGACGGTAACGACTTGTCCCCTGTTTTAAAAATAGGAGTTACATTAGCCATCTTCCACATATCAGACACTACACCTGTTTGAAGAGATAAATTAAAAAATATTAGTTAATGGTTCACAGAGTTCCATTTTGCATTCCTTAAGAACCCTTGAAAAAACCTCATCAGGACCCCGGCGACTTATTTTGCTTCAGTCTGTCTATCTGCCTCACAACCATCTCACTAGTGACTGTGATGTTACATAATTTATCTTCTTCTAGCCCACTGTAAAAATTAATTACTGGAATATTGTTAGTGTCTTCCTGTGTAAAAACTGAGAGAAATAATTATTTAAAATCAAGCACATTTCATTCTCATTGTCAGTAAGGTGCCCATAGTTATTTTTAAGGGGACCTATCTTATCTCTAACTTTTGTTCTATAGACCTGGAAAAAACTTTTTGGGTTAGTTTTAGAATCCCTAGCAACTTTAATTTCATAGTCCCTTTTAGCTTTTCTTATCCCCTTTTTAATGTCCCTCTTAATGTCAATATACTGATTCATAAGATGACCCTCACCTCTTTTGATACGCCTATAAATTCCTTTCTTATGCCCTAGTAGATATTTGAGCCTATTATTCATCCATTTTGGGTCATTTCTATTTGATCTAATTTCTTTATATGGGATAAACGCTCTTTGAGCAGCATGTATAGTGTTCAGAAAACTGTCATATTGATAGCTCTCTTCGTTACCCCAGTCAACAGATGATAAGTGTTCTTTAAGCCCATCGTAATCTGCTAAGCGAAAATCTGGGACTGTTACTGAGTTATCGCTACTATCGTACTTCCATTCAATGCTAAATGTAATTGATTTGTGGTCGCTAGCACCCAGTTCCTCTGAAATTTCTAAATTATTAACAAGGGATTCATTGTTTGCCATAACTAAGTCAAGCAGGTTATTTCCCCTTGTAGGTTCTGTCACAAACTGCTTCAAAAAACAATCCTGAAATACTTCTAAGAAGTCGTAAAGATTCTAAATTTCCCAGTCAAGAAATTCCAATCAACATGACTAAAGTTAAAGTCTCCTAGAATTACTACATTATCGTGCCTTGTGGCCTTAACAATTTCCTCCCATAGTAGTTTCCCTTGGTCCCTATCTAAGTTAGGGGGACGGTATATCACTCCTAAAATCAGTTTTTCATGCCCCTCTGAAAATTCTATCCAAACAGACTCTGTATGTGTTACTTCAGACTTAATACCCGTTTTTTATGCAACAGTTCAAGCGATCTCGGACGTACAATGCCACCCCACCCCCCCTCCCAATACTTCTATCTTCTTGGAACAATTTAAAACCCTGAATATGACATTCCGCAGGCATGTCCCGACTTTTTGAATTAAACCACGTCTCAGTTAAGGCAAATACATCAATGTTACCTACACTAGCAACTAATCTCAACTCGTCCATCTTATTCCTAGCACTACGGCAATTAGCATAATAAACATTGAAAGACTCTCCTTTCTCTTTACCCTTCCTGCTCATTTCTATTTTTCTACTAAACCTATTACCGTCTTTATCACCCAAGGTCCCTGGCTTTTCAATATCTATCTCGTTCTTATTATTACTAGTTCCCCTAGAACTCGTAATATTACTACACTGGGACTTCACTGTTTTCCTGCCAAAACCCATACCACTAACTATTCCTAGTTTAAAGTCCTAACTGCTCCCTCCACTGCAGTTGCCAGTGCTCCCACCCCACACCTAGATAAGTGAACCCCATCCCTAGCATACATGTCATTTCTGCCATAGAAGAGGTCCCAGTTGTCAATGAATGTTACCGCATTTTCCTTACAGTATTTGTCCAGCCAGCAATTGACACCAATTGCCCTGGACAACCATTCACTTCCAACTCCCCTCCTTGGCAAAATACCACATATGAGAGGGTTCCCACCCTTACTTCTAATTATTTCTATTGCTGACCTATACCTGCTAATCAGGTCCTCACTCTACGTCTGCCAACATCGTTGCCTCCAGCACTGAGACAGATAATAGGATTGCTCCCATTACCTCTCATGATGTCATCCAGACGGCTAACAATATCCTCCATCCCAGCCCCAGGAAAGCAAACTCTCTGTCTCCTACTCCTGTCCTTCAAGCAGAACGCCCTATCCATATACCTAACTTGGCTATCCCCAACAACAACAATATTCTTACCTTCCTTAATGTCTTTCGTCGTGTCGTTCCCAGTAGTCAACTCACATTCGTCGGGTAGCACTGAGAATGTATTGGATGTTTCCACAACAGTTTCCACGGCAGTCTCTTTCTTCTTCATCGTTTCTACCTTTCCATTCGTCTTCTTGATCGTCAACTTCTTTCCCTGCTGTCCAGCCACTGACCAGTTTCCCTTCTTGACCTGAGGACTCAAAACAGGAGGACTACTACGAATCTTCTTGTTCTCCTCGGTCAATCGCCGAATTTCCAAATTCGCCAACCTCAATTCTTCCTTAAGCTGTTGGTAAAGTTGCTCGATGGAGGGCATCTTGCTTCAATTCTAGAGAGCGCGCAAACAGGTCTTCACAGAGCCAAGTACACGTCAACACTGCGCAAATGCCAACTCAATCAGGAGCTACTGCGCAGCACGTCCGCACGGCCCAATAGCGATGCGAACACTGACCTGTCTTTGTAATACTCATTTGTGCTTTATAGTTATCTGTCTACAATAATGTCTTATCACTGATTTCATCATTGCTAAGTTAATCTTAAGTTAATTTTAAGCCAGCCCGTAATGCTATGCATATAAGTGGCTTTGGCATGCTGCTCTTACCTGTATTTTTTTGTACCTCTGTATGTATGCTAAAATTACTAAATAAATAAATAAATAAATAAAGTAGTCTGTAAGCATTAGGATACATCTTCCCGAAATGCACCGCATGCTAGTGGCTTTCTTTCATGGTTAACAAAATTTTATTACATGTAAACTACATTTGTATACTGCAGAAAAGAAATAAAGTTGTATTGTATTGTATTTAATAACACAAAAATGAATGGAGACAAATGGTTTTTAATACTTGACGTGCTGTTGGAGTGTGAGCAAAGTAACATTTATGAAGGGATTCAGGGAAACCGGCAGGCCGGACTTGAGTCCTGGAGATGGGAAGTACAGTGCCTGCACTCTGAAGGAGGGGTGTTAATGTTGCAGTTTAAAAACTGTAGTGTAAAGCACCCTTCTGGCAAGACATTGATGGAGTGAATGATGGTGAAAGTTTTTCTTTTTCGGGCCACCCTGCCTTGGTGGGAATCGGCCAGTGTGATAATAAAAAAAAAATAAAAAAAAATAACACAAAAATGATGTGTGTGTACTATAGAGCTTGACAGAGGAGAGGTCACTACCAGGGGTGAGTTGAGAGTAGTGTTTACCTGCACTGTTCCAGTGCAGCAACAGTCACATTGTTACTGTTCCAGTGTAGCAACAGTCACAATGTTACTCCTCTAGTGTAGCAACAATCACAATGTTACTGTTCCAGTGCAGCAATAATCACAATGTTAAAGTTCCATTCAATGCCCCCGCAGCCCGGTCTGTGACCAGGCCTCCTGGTGGATCAGAGCCTGATCAACCAGGCTGTTACTGCTGGCTGCATGCAATCCAACGTACGAGCCACAGCCCGGCTGGTCAGGTACCGACTTTAGGTGTTTGTCCAGTGCCTGCTTGAAGACAGCCAAGGGTCTATTGGTAATCCCCCTTATGGCTCAAGAAATCGTAATGACACGATTGCAAACAAACCATATCCCCGGCCGGGATTGAACCCGCGGTCATAGAGTCTCAAAACTCCAGCCCGTCGCGTTAGCCACTAGACCAGCTAGCTGGTCTAGTGGCTAACGCGACGGGCTGGAGTTTTGAGACTATGACCGCGGGTTCAATCCCGGCCGGGGGTATGGTTAATCCCCCTTATGTATGCTGGGAGACAGTTGAACAGTCTTGGGCCCCTGACACTTACTGTATTGTCTCTTAACGTTCTAGTGACACCCCTGCTTTTCACTGGGGGATGTTGCATCGTCTGCCGAGTCTTTTGCTTTCGTTGAGAGTGATTTTCGTGTGCAAGTTCGGTACTAGTCCCTCTAGGATTTTCCAGGTGTATATAATCATGTATCTCTCCTGCCTGCGTTCCAGGGAGTACAGGTTCAGGAAATTCAAGCGCTCCCAGTAAATGAGGCGTTTTATCTCCATTATGTGTGCCGTGAAGGTTCTCTGTACATTTTCTAGGTCAGCAATTTCACCTGCCTTGAAAGGTGCTGTTAGTGTGCAGCAATATTCCAGCCTAGATAGAACAAGTGACCTGAAGAGTGTCATCATGGGCTTGGCATCCCTAGTTTTGAAGGCTCTCATTATCTGTCCTGTCATTTTTCTAGCAGATGCGATTGATACAATGTTATGGTCCTTGAAGGTGAGATCCTCTGACATGATCACTCCCAGGTCTTTGACGTTGGTTTTTCACTATTTTGTGGAAGGAATTAAAACGTCTTCAGACGTTTTACTTTCCTCATGTTTACTATATCGGAGTAATTGAAATTTCTCATCGTTGAACTTCATATTGTTTTCTGCAGCCCACTGAAAGATTTGGTTGATGTCCACCTGGAGCCTTGCCGTGTCTGCAATGGAAGACACTGTCATGCAGATTCGGGTGTCATCTGCAAAGGAAGACACGGTGCTGTGGCTGATATCCTTGTCTATGTCAGATATGAGGATGAGAAACAAGATGGGAGCGAGTACTGTGCCTTGTGGAACAGAGCTTTTCACCGTAGCCGCCTCAGACTTTACTCTGTTGACTACTACTCTTTGTGTTCTGTTTGTGAGGAAATTATAGATCCATCTACCAACTTTTCCTGTTATTCCTTTAGCACACATTTTGTGCACTATTACACCATGGTCACACTTGTTGAAGGCTTTGGCAAAGTCTGTATATATTACATCTGCATTCTTTTTGTCTTCTAGTGCATCTAGGACCTTGTCGTAGTGATCCAGTAGCTGAGACAGACAAGAGCGACCTGCTCTAAACCCATGTTGCCCTGGGTTGTGTAATTGATGGGTATCTAGATGGGTGGCAATCTTGCTTCTTAGGACCCTTTCAAAGATTTTTATGATATGGGATGTTAGTGGTGTCGGTCTGTAGTTCTTTGCTATTGCTTTACTGCCCCCTTTGTGGAGTGGGGCTATGTCTGTTGTTTTTAGTAACTGTGGGACGACCCCCGTGTCCATGCTCCCTCTCCATAGGATGGTAAAAGCTCGTGATAGGGGCTTCTTGCAGTTCTTGATGAACACGGAGTTCCACGAGTCTGGTGTATACCTGTAGTGTTAAACTCCACTAAGTTACACCTTCAACACTCTTAAACCATACCATGGGCAGGGCTTGAGCTCTTACTTCATATATGAGGTCGAATTACCACCACACTAACAGCTATCTTCTAGAGGGAACTTGATAAGCTCCTTAAGTTAATTTTGGATCACTCAGGCTGATCTTACCTACACTGGATTGAATGTGGCTAGCACCAACATTCTGACTGATCACACCATCAACCAGGAAGGTTGGTCTAGGATCTGGACATGAGGGCAATACTCACAGAATCAACTGCAGGGCTAAGGAAGGAGAGTTTACCTAGACAATATGGTCTCTGCCAAGGTCTGTGTGAAGGTAGTAAGTTGCTGGACAATATTCTACTACAAAGTCCCTTCACCTGTGAAGGGACTTTGTTGTAGAATAAGGAAAATAAAGCAACTGGAGCTACCCTTCCCTTGTTCAGATTAAACCTGATGACTTCCTATTCCCCAGTTTTTTACTTTAGTTTCTGTAATATCCTCAGTAAGACTGACAATTTGGCAGCTACATAACCCAAAATCAATATAAACAAAAATATAATTAACATACACCAGGGTGTCTATTTTTCCAAGTTTGACAGTGATGGGTGGTACTTGTGTCAGTGTATGTAACACATAACACTTAATAGGCAATATAACCTGGTCCAATACTACACTTCCACATACAAAGTGGCTCTCCACACTTTTGTAAGTGATGCATCAGTGAATGAAGCACCCACTTGAGCATGTAAGTGGAAGCAAAACTCTCTCAAGTGTATTATTGTATACTGTTACCTGCAGCTTATTAAGTGGAGGAGAGATTACTTCTTGCTTCGCCTCACACAGTCAGCCAGTCATAACTGTGTTATGATATGACATAACTGTTATGTTTATCATAACTGTGTTATGATAAACATAACTGTAGCATGATAGTCATAACTGTAGCATGATAGTCAAAACTGTAGCATGACAGTCATAACTGTAGCATGATAGTCATAACTGTGTCATGATACAGTCAACTTTGTTACAATACAGTCATAACTGTTAGAACTGTTATGACTCATGGGGGACATGTATGTGTCAGAAGTTATATCTGTTATGACTCATGATGCAGACATGTCTGTTATGATTCAAAATTGTGTTAAAGGACCCCAATGGATATAAGTCACTCTGTCTGACTTTTTTGGGTTATCCTAGGTACTTTACACATATGCTGCTATGTATGATAACCTGTGTAACTGTATTTGTGTATACATGAATAAACTTACTTACTACTTACTTATGACTCATGACACAGGCATGTCTGTGTCATGCTCGACATGGCAACAACTCTTGCGTTGTCATGACTCATGCTGAGGATGATTAACCTGACCACCCATTTGGCTGCTGTTTTAACGGAAGAGGAGAAATAGCAAAGATTGGCTGGGGAATGGAGAACGAAGGAAGGGAGAGCAAAGACTGGGGTGAGAGGTAGAGAGAAGGTGCGGAGGAGAGAGATGAACTGTCAAACAAATATAAATATTGAAAAAGAACACAACAAATACAAATAGTGAAAAAAAGGAAAATATAACTTGTAAGTGTAAACGAGATAATAAGAGAGAGGTCGCTGGACCTATGAAGACGACAGAGTACTTAGATGGGAGAGACTGTGCAGAACCAGAGAACGGGATAAATCTGGACAAAGAGAGAGAGAGAATGCACTTACTGTGAGGTAAGTTTCTCCAGTTCGGTCTCCCACTCTTCCTTGAGATGGTCGTTCATCCTGGCTTCCTCAGCCGCCCGCTGCTTGGCAAACTTCTTATAAAGGTCATCTTCCTCGAGTCTGTGTTGCATCTCCATCTGCTTCTGCACGTTGACATCCTGTTGCGGGTCATACCTGGTTAGTTATATCTCAATGCTTTAAGGGATATCACCTCTCCCACGGCACCCTCTCATACCACACTTCGCAAATTACCAAGGATATACAGAAATACAAAGAAGAAAAACGCTGGGAAGTAATGTGTATATGTAAGTGCACGTTTGTAAGAGCTACCACCCATCTTACATGACAGAAAAAAGATCAACAATCCTACTACAGTGCGAAACCTTTAATGGGATTCCATTTCACACTCACAAGAAAGGATTGTACTAGTTGGTCCTGGTAGGTGCACACATACCATCAAAAACTGTCATGTTTGTTGATAGATATACCGTATTTAAGTGAATTCATACACTATGAAAACTTTAGTTCAGCCTCAATCTAAATATTATTACTTAACATAAATATATTAATTATGTAATGTTTAGACTGATTTTTGCAAGTGACTGTTTTGTCTAGTGGCAAAACAGTCATTTAGCTCCAAGGAGCTGAACTCTTGTCCAGGCTGAGGGACTGACCACCTCAAATACTTTTTCTCCAAGGCTGATGGACTGATTACATCATCTTCATTTCACTACTATACCTGCTGCCTTTGTATTTGACTGAAGAAACCTACTGTGTAGGCGAAACGTTTCAACAATAAAGATACCAAACTGTTACAGATGTACAAGGCAAGAATCGTAACCAAGATCTTTCAGTGTAAGGTGAACGCTGGTACACTGAAGCCAACTGATCACTTACAAAACAATCAAGTTAAAAAAAAAAGCTACTGAACAATGCACAAATAACCCGCAAACAGGAGAATTAAAGTTATGACATTTCAGTCCGACCTGAACCATTAAATAGTCACACGACTAGCTGATGGTCCAAGTACCGGTTATTTGTGTACAAAAAAATGTATTTTTACGACGTTTCACCAACACTGGCGTTTTATTGAGCACCGTTGAGAGTGAAACTTTGTAAGTTAAAGGGTTTTCCTACTTAAAGTGTCTCTGAATTACTACTTATCGGCTTCATGTCTACTCACTTGTCACATAAGTGTTACACTTACAAGCTAAGTCACTAAAGTCAACTAACAACTGCGAATTCAATGGAGTGATTTTAATTACTCAGGACAAAGAGGAAAGATATACTAATACCTGGAGAGGGTTTCGGGGGTCAACGCCCCCGCGGCTCGGTCCGAGACCAGGCCTCGTGGTGGATCAGGGTTTGATCAACTAGGCTGCTACTGCTGGCCGCACGCAAACTGACGTACGAACCACAGCCATGCTGGTCAGGTACTGACTTAATGTGCCTGTCCAGTGCCTTCTTGAAGACAGCCAGGGGTCTATTGGTAATCCCCCTTATGTATGCTGGGAGGCAGTTTAAAAACTCTTGGGCCCCTGACACTTACTGTGTTGTCTCTTAGTGTTCTCGCTTTACACACGGAGGGCCCGGGTTCGATTCCCAGCAGGGTGGAAACATTTCGACACGTTTCCTTACACCTGTTGTCCTGTTCACCTAGCAGCAATTAATAGGCACCTGGGTGGTAATCGATTGGTGTGGGTCGCATCCTGGAGGACAAGATTGAGGACCCTAATGGAAATAAGACAGACAGTCCTCGATGACGCACTGACTTTCTTGGGTTATTCTGGGTAGCTAACCCTCAGGGGTTAAAAATCCGAACGAAATCTCATCTTACTAATGGCACCCCTATTTTTCATTGGGGGAATGTCGAATCTCCTGCCGAGTCTTTTGCTTCATAGGGAGTGATTTTCGTGTGCAAGTTTGGTACTAATCCCTCTATATCATCGTTTTCAACTATCCCATTTATCTGGACCCGGAATTTCTACTCGGCGACGATACTATAATGTGGGCAGGGAAATGTGATTAGCAGTGAAGAGTGAGGTGATAACTCTCATTAAGGGTGAAGATGTACAAGTACAGCTACATTAATACAGACAGATTTTTGGAATAAGACACACATGCACAATCAAGATATTTATCGTAGGAAAAAATTTGCTACCGGAGGCAAAACGTCTTCAACAAATTTCTTGATTGTGCATATATATGTCTTCTTCCTACGAGGGGGTGAAGCTACAGAAAATATCCTTGTGAAAGGGCTCGAATACAGGTTAAGCATGTAGTGGTCTCGATGGGGCAACATGCTCTGGAAATGCCAGTCTAATTAAAGATGTCGCCTTTGTTGCAGAAAACACGACTTTATGGGGTGTACGGAAGAAATCCGGAGTGGGGATAAAATTGTAATTGTGGAGGTACTCACAACGGAGGTTCCAACCTGTGCGCAGTAGAGGCCACATCTGAGAACACGGTGGAGAGGAAAGATTTCACAAAAACTAAAGAGAACTAAACGAGAGGCTGTGACGATGACCGTAGTAATGTGTGGGAGAAAATGACTAAGCAGTTAAAGGAGAATCTTGAAACACCAAGAACTGAAGAGGAAGCGAGTCATCACCAAAACAATAACATGGTTAGAAATGTGCCAACATCGGAGGTTAGTGTCCAGCTCTTAAACGACCTGAAAAAAATGCAGAGTGAAAAACTGGTAAATGAGGAGGAGGAGCAAGAAAATACAGAAAATAATGAAGAGCTATTAAGCGGCCAAGATTAGGGATATGACCTTGATAAAAGCAACGTCAAAGATAATAAAGTAGCAAATATTGAAACCAAAATATACAGGAAATTACTTTACGATTAAAGAGGTTACAGATATAGCTAGTGAAAGAGGTAATTGTAATAGTGATGAGAAAGAGTACGAACTACATGTTTGGGAGTCTGCCCTAACATGCCTTTCTCACCTAAAGGAACTAGTGGTAAAGCTATGTGGAAAAACCATAATGGATACAAATATAATGAGCATACTGTAATGTCCTGAAAGGTAAATGGCTTGAAAAACTATGGAGAAAATATTGAAAAACTATGAAGAAAATATTGACATTATAGCACTGCATGAAACCGGAAACAGATGGCACCATACTTAGGTTAACTGGGCACAGAGGATATCACTTATTTGCAGGATTATCACGTAATGTTAAAAGTACTATACCTGCTGATTTAAATATATATATATATATATATATATATATATATATATATATATATATATATATATATATATATATATATATATATATATATATATATATATATATATACTTACAAGAATATAAATTTTATTAATTTTCTTTCCTGATAATTGACTTCAACACTAAAGTAGTAGTAGAGGCTAATACTAGACATCCACACTAATAGAATTAAAGGATTCAATTTCTACGGGATCACACAAATGCTAAACTATTGAGAAATCTCTCTTACTCCTGTAAGAGAAGACAAGTTACACTATGCTTGCTTCATTAAAGCTGGGGACATTGAGAGGGAAGCACTGTACACAACCAAAGAACTGCCATCTTGCTCTGCTACTGATGAAATTGGGTAAAAGGGATGTACTCAAATGAAAAAAAAACTGTTTTGTAAAGAAATGAAACTTGTAGATCACAAGAACTGTTGGAATAATACTTATGAACATGTACGAACCAGTAATAGGGGATACATTATGGAATGGCACGGTACCAAACTGATTATAAAGGAAGAACTCCATAAACACAGATATTTAGAATAATCTATTATAGTTACATCCAGCATCACAGTACAAAATACGGAGTTTTAAAATTCTCTGAAGTTCTGGCTCAGTTAGATCGTAAAACGCCCAGACGCAGCCAGCAAATCAATTACATCTGGGCCAGCAAGCTCCACCCGCGCTACGTGACCACTACTACCATCATGTGCCACTACCTGGAGTTTACCTGGAGAGGGTTTCGGGGGTCAACGCCCCCGCGGCTCGGGCTGAGACCAGGCATCATGGTGGATCAAGGTCTGATCAACCAGACTGTTACTGCTGGCCGCACGCAAGCTGATGCACGAACCACAGCCCGGTTGGTCAGGTACTGACTTTAGCTGCCTGTCCAGTACCTTCTTGTAGACAGCCAGGGGTTTACTGGTAATCCCCCTTATGTAGGCTGGAAGGCAATTGAACAGTCTTGGGCCCCAGACACTTATTGTGTTGTTTCTCAATGTACTCGTGGCGCCCCCGCTTTTCATTGGGGAAATGTTGCATCTCCTGCCGAGTCTTTTGCTTTCATAGGGAGTGATTTTCGTGTGCAGGTTTTGTATCAATCCCTCTAGGACCTTCCAATTGTATATCATCGTGTATCTCTCTCGCCTGCATTCCAGGGAATACAGATCAAGGACGTTCAACCGTTCCCAGTAATTTAGGTGCCTTATCGTATTTATATGTGCCGTGAAAGTTCTTTGTACACTCTCCAGGTCTGAAATACCGCCAGCCTTGAAGGGGGGCCGTTAGTGTGCAGCAGTATTCCAGCCTAGAGAGCACAAGCGATTTGAAGAGAATCATCATGTCTGTATTAGATTAAGCTTTTGGTGGGCGAAACGCCTCTTAATGATACATAGATAATACGCATGTGTTATTCGACACGTTAGTCAGTGCCGCAGGAGATTAAAACCAGTTAAAGCTTCTAGTCTGTCATAGGATCTGGTACAATTGTATTACGAATGATGTACATAACTACTATACCATTACTTATCCCACTATACGGCACCTGTCATCTCTTATCCAGAAGGAGAGAGCATAAATAAGTTGGAAATTTATAGAATGAAGCAATGAAAATAATCTGAAGATGTTAGAAAAAATGCAAAGATTGGAATAATGAAGATGAAGCCTTACTTTACAGAGTATTAGAGTTAAATATAACATCAGATTAACGATAGGAAAATGGGGCAATGATTTAATTTCATTAATTCAAGACGGAGCCAGAAGTGAATGTTCCTTTAACATAACGAGAGAAGATATTCGAGAATATTTCTTCACGATGACAAGAAATATAACCTAAGAGACTGTTTACCACTACAGAAAAAAAAAGGCCACCACCTCGGGAACAGTACAATGCATATGTGTACACAGTTCCTTTAAAAATAAATAAGTTGA